TTGTTGCTTAACTGTAAATAATGGAAAGAGAGGAAACAACCAAGTAAGGGTAATTCCGTGGGGTTCCTACCACCGTTACATGAAGTATCTCCGATTGGCCTTCAAATAGAACCATTCGATAGAACTTTTTGCGCTGATCATTTTGGTAACCAAAAAGTCTAGCATTGACCACACAATAAGAGAGAAATTCACAAAATACGAAAATACGCATTTCCGATATTTTGTCCAAATTCAAATGTAATCGTTTTCATTGTTTCCGCAAATATGAATCGAAATATTTTTTCTAATCAAAATTTCAACTTCAAATTCGTGTAGAGCATCAAAAATTCTTCAAGATCATTTACTTTTCCAGGTAAATTTGAATTATTTTTACTGGCACCTCAATAGCTCTCTTTGCCGCTAAATACGTAAAGACTGTGAAAATGTTTGCCTACCATTTGATTCAAAAATGGAATTATCGCAGAAAACCTGATATACAGTTCGATAGAGGAGCTTCTGCTCTATCGACCTATATAAATAACTTTTTATGGGAGAAGCATTTGCTATGCAAATAGGACAAAAAACAAAAAAATGTTGCTTTTTTTCACATTTTGCGTAGTATAGGCTTTCTAATGTTTAACTATTTACTCTTATATTTTATAATTAACAATAGATTCAGAATCAGCATTAAAAACTGTATCGAATGATGTATTTTGAATTAGGTGAAATTCTTTTATATCGAGCCTTGGTAAACAGCCATTAATTCCACACTTATGTTACTCATATAAAAAACAACGAAAAACGTTTTAGGTGCATTTCGGTCCAATTAGAAAATGGAGATAGATTTATCTCAAACTTTCAGCAAATACTCAGCTATATGCTAGGAGTCATCACTGAAAATTTCAGCTTGATCTGTTGAACTTTTCCTTTACTTCGGCACATCAAAGACCTAGACCCTATGTGTACATATGGGGTGTGGGTGTGGGTGTGGGTGTGAGTGTGGGTGTGGGTGGGTGTGGGTGGGGGTGTGGGGTGTGGGTGTGGGTGTGGCTGAAAAAGAAGAACAAGAACACTCACACCCACACCCACACCCACCCACACCCACACCCACACCCACCCACACCCACACCCACACCCGCTCATCTTTCACACTTACAAACATTTGAATATTTCAACTATGATTCTATTAAATATAAGAGCATACGAAATAAGTAAGTGATAGAAAAATATAAAGTACAAGATAAAATTATTAACAAGTCTGCAAGAGAATATTTAAACTGTCAGTACCATTATTGGCGACGACAAAATCTAGTTTTTTATCGTTGTTGAAATCTCCAATGGCAATCGAGAATGGATTGGAACCATAGTCCAACTGAACTAGTATGATGCTTTCAAAACTGCCGTCTCCATGTCCAAGAAGTACACCTAGATAATTGGCATCATAATTCGCGACGACAATGTCCAGTATAATGTCGTTGTTAATGTCATTTACAGCTAAAGAATATCGAGACGAATTTGAGCTTGTTGAATACATCATTTGATTTCCAAAAGAACCATTCCCATATCCAAGAATAATACCAACACTGTCCGACTTACAACTAACAAAGGCGATATCCACTTGACTATCATTGTTGAAATCACCGACAGTCATAGAGCATGCAGATAAATATGGATGTGTTGAATATGTCATTTGATTTGCAAAAGAGATATTTCCATATCCAAGAAAAATATCAATATTTTGGGTGCGTGAATTAATGACGCCAATATCCATTAGATCATCATTGTTAAAATCGCTGATCACTAACGACTTTGGTCGGGAATCATTTCCAGTTATCAGTATCATTTGCTTTACAAAAACTATATTGTCATAGTCAAGAAGGACACTCACATCATTGCTACGCTCATTGGCAACAACGATATCCAGTCGTGTGTCGTTGTTGACATCACCAATAGATACAGATCGTGGTCGAGAGTCAACTGAATACTTTGTTTGATTTTCAAAAGAACCATTCCCGTATCCAAGAAGGACACTTACATCATTGCTATCCGAATTGGCGACAACGATATCTAGTCGAGTGTCATTGTTGACATCACCAATAGCTACAGATGATGGAGAAGAGCCAACTGAATATCTTGTTT